GCTGTAGCTCGAAGTTGTGTGAGTGAACGAGGACGTCTCAGTTTCAGTTCTGGCCATCTGCCCATGAAGCTATAAAACCACTGCAAAGACAGATTATTGTCTTGCTTGGTTCTTTTATGCAAAGTGATAGCATACTCCGTTCAAGGGAGATAACTTGTGCCCTAGTGTAGCCATATCCGACAGATGCCATAAGTTTCAAATGACTGACAAGACGAGCCTCTTCTTCTTGACTTAATAGCGGTCCTGGACCTGAAGACAAGCATTCTGGCGAAGTGATGCCTTTCACCCGGTCCCTAAGAGTTTGTTCAGGTACAGAATGTATCTTAGCAGCCTTATACACAGAAACCCCTTTTTCAATTACTTCTAGGTAGGCAGTTTGAAGTTGAGTAGGGCTGTAAGATTGATACTGCCGTTTTCGTCGCGCAGGAATGCCCTACAATGGTGAAAAAAACGACTTAAGAGATGACCCTATCGGGCTTCCATACTTCCTAAAATAGAGCAGGGATTCCCCTACTAGGTCACGTGATTATTTTTATTTATTACGTCAGCTAGCAGACGAGCGATGTTTGGAAAACTTTGAAGCTGAAAAAGGTTATAGAAAATGTTTGTAAAGATCGCACAAAAAATGCATTACGTGCTAGACATAAAGTTACATTAGTTTTTAATATTAGATGACTGTACTTACACAAATTGACGAAACTCTCAACATTTTTTGCTCGGAGCCGTGACGATCCACTGATGTATGTAAACAATCGGTAGGTGGCGCGATTTGGTGAGCGGCTCGCGAGAAACTACGTCATTAAAAAATACCACGGAAAGGTGAGTACCACGGAATCGTATGACGGCAGGGTATATTTTATATTTCGGTTTCTAAGTAACTATTAAGTCTAAATTATTTGCCAGTGTGAACTGACATATATTTTTTTCATTCAGTAATTTGCACCATTACATAGAAAAGTTTTTTATTAGTATTTTATTTTTCGAAGCGGTAATAATGCATTACACTGGACACCTCAGTCATGTTTGTGCCTGTTCGGTCAATGCATTTATTAGAATTATTTCAAGGGGTTAGGTACGTTAGGGTTAGGCTTAGGGTTTAGGGTTAGGGTTAGGGACCTAATCCAATATAGTAGGTACATGTCCGGTCTAATACGTGAGTACCATTTGTTGTTTTCAATTTGCATTTTAAATTTAATACTGCCGGTTCGGTCAATACATTGTATTTATTAGGATTATTTCAAGGGGTTAGGGTTAGGGTTTAGGGGTTAGGGTTAGGGACCTAATCCAATATAGTTGGTCCGGTGTGTAATACGTGAGTACCATTTGTTGTTTTTCCTGTTTGCATTTTAATACTTTTTTTTCACACAAAAACGGGAAACCAAAAACGTCGAAAGTACACTATGAAATGGTTTAATGTAGAAATTTTGGGCTAATGGACCTGGAATTTGCTCTCAAGCATCTTTCACACGCAACATAAATTTTGTTCAGTAATGATTCGAAGGCTAACTTACCCTCGTGCCGTCACTACACATGCTCATGTCTCCCTCGTTCCTTAGTGCGATCCACATTATCCTTACTTTCATCAGAAAAGAAAACATTTTGATTTCCGTGAGCCCTGCACCAGTTAAAAACTTCTTTCACTTTGTGCATCTTTTATCAATGGTTAGGGAATTCCGCGCTTTTTTAGTGTTTGTAATTCTAGTCTAAGAGTTTTATTACATACCTGATGACTTCCTCTATTAGTCATCTCATTTCTGATATTATCAACGCTTTTCAATTTTCCCCTACTCACAATGAATCTGACCAAGTCGCCGGCGATCCATAGTACTGAACTTCCTTGGCCTCCCTGCCCGTGTCTTGTGCTCAATCCCAACTCCGGACTGAATATTCTTCAAAGTTCTGTATACTGTAGACAGAGGAATGTCAAGTCTACCAGCTAACGCTTTTGCATTAGTCACACCCTTTCAAAATCATGTGGAACCAGCATTTTTTGTCAATTCTGCTGTCAAATCTGCTATGTCAACAAAGGAAGCTGTCTGCTACACCAGGGGAGATAATTCTTGATGTAGTAAGGGTCATTCTTAAGCCTACAAGAGTTGCCTCCCATATTGAGTACCTTACTACATGATGTAACACCTATTTTAAAATTGTATTATCAGTATTAGGAGACAACGATTTTCTTAATGTGTTATAAGGTGAAAATGCATCCCTAAAGCAGTATGAGAATTACAGCAGATTCCGTATTTCGATTACCAATATGACTCAGAACTGATAACCTTTGGCTCATGACTAAGAACGGTTAAACACATAATAGAGACAGAAAGTCGGGAATAAGAGAAAGATAAACATTGAGATATGAACTTGGCTAAAACTTTCGTGAGGCAAGGACACGACAAGGTCGTTAGAGGAAGGTTATGAAATACATGAGTTAAAAGGGCGGAGACGGAAGTAGCAAATCAGTGAAAAGGGGAGTCACTGAACGGTGCTGTCCGAGACCCCTCTAATTATAATACACATGAGTGAAAGGACAGATACAGTTATTAACGAATCAAAACAATATGTTGAAATATGTGATTAAGATAAGGTCAGGCTCGTCTCATTTAAAAAGACATGTTTGGGCGCTAAGAGCAGAGAGAGTGCGGAGAGTACTAGCTCAACATTTCAGAAGCCAATCCACTTTACTAAGTTCCCCGTAGGATACGAGCCTGCTCTGTCTTGTGTTGGAGTTGTACTTTGAGAGATATGGACTGAGAGACAGTAAACCTATGTGAGTATAGAACTTGGTGTTGCGTTTATCCTTGAATGTATGTATGCCAGTACATGAATGTGATGTAGTTAGTTAGGAGTCACGGTCGCCCGACCCCTCACTCCTTGACTGAGCATTCCCCATGGACCAAGCGAGTGCAGAGCTGGAGCTTACATCTCCCCTGACAATGTGGAACGACCATAAACAATAGGTAACTGGGGTAGGGTTTACTAACACCCAAACGCCAGTTACGAGCAATGGCAAAGTGAGGTTGATTTAGTTTACGGATTCAAATATATCAAACGTGTGTTTTAATATCATACGTCAATAGACATTACAGTATTACATGCCATGATTAATATCGAGGTAAAAAAACACACACACAAAAAGCATCAAATTGGATCAGTCATCATACCATCCATGCATCAGAAAATCCGAAGAAGCCTACACTGCTGGGATACTTTATTACAATCAAACAAGAACTACCGGGTATATTTTCAAATAACGGCATCAAATGGGCATCTACCGTTCATATTGTCCCATTGCTTAGGTTGAAGAAATTCTGCCAAGGTGGACAGTTGCCCAGTCACTGTGTGCGTCACGGTCGAGGGAGTAGAGGCTGACCATCTGGCAGCTAGGCGATAGTTGGCGCGCAACATTACTCGCTCTGGATGAGTGCCCCTTTAAGTGGCAAAAATGGTTGTATTGCTGATGAGAGGAACACAGTTTCAGAAGAGGCGATTTGGTAAATAACGAGTAGTGACATTTTAAATGGTGGATTTCGATTGATAGATTAGAATATGTAATCACGAATACGTCCCGAGCAATCCCTGTTGTGTTTGGGGCATGTATAGGTATCGAAACACGTGTTTCCTTGTATTTTGAGGGCACAGACAGTAGCAACATACATGTATATGTACAGTATGGCGGGAGTAAGCATTATGCTGACCTACACACAGGTGAGTAATTGTTGTCTTATGTCGCAGTCTTCAGTATTAAAGCTATATCTGGGGAAGTCAGGTGGCCTAATGGCTAAAGCGCCCGCTCGTCATTCTGAAGACCCGGGTTTGATTCCCCACATGGATACATTGTGTGAAGCCCATTTATGGTGTCCCCCGCCGTGATATTGCTGAATACTGCTAGGAGCGGCGTAAAACCATTTTCACTCACTGAAGCTATATCTGTAAATAACCGAGTGTTGCCTGAACACAAGCAACGCTGTCCGCAAACAGGGCGATGTGGCACGCCATCGGTCGAGTAACGAAGCCTGAAAACATCCACTCGTATCCTCATCTCTATGGGGACTGATGTTTGACGCCATGAGATCTGCATTCAAAGTACCATCTCGACCTACCGGGTACCAGACAAATGTAATTTCTGAGAGGTTGTGAAGAAATCCCCGTATATTTAACGAGAAATAACTTGTTGATGGCTTGTTGATATAAATGATGGCTCCTGAATCGTTGCTACCTATCAATTTCCACGCAGGCGCGTAGCAAGCCAATTGTTTCGTGTAAGCCCGATGGGTTGCAAAGCTTTATATTTAGAAAGTATTGAGGGCTTGCCCAACTTTCAATTTCAAAATCATGTGTAAGCCCGTTTTTTAAAAATAAAATAATGGTAGCTACGCCCCTGCCACGCAACACGTGCCAGTCGCGGGCGATTGTCTCAGATACAAAATGAAAGAATTTTTGGTTTGGTTGGTTTGTTGTTTAACGCCGCAATATTCCAGCTATATGGTGGCGGTCTGTAAATAATCGAGTCTGGACCAGACAATCCAGTGATCAACATCGAAAATAAGATTTGTTAATGACAAACGCTTTCGATGATTTTTCCAGAAATGTTTTTAATTTGTCGTCGCGCTGATATTTGCCGATATACGAATTTAAAGTCAGTTAAATATGAGATGTCGGAGATAATAATATTGAAACCAGTTTGCGCTAATTTAACGATTTGTACAGGCTTCAAATATGAAACGCACTGTCAATCAAGTAATTCAGGTAAAATCGGGAAAATATATTTACAATATGTATGTATGCTTTCGCCTTAATCTCTGTATGTTTAAACATATCAGGATCTTTTTGGATAATGATGTTCATTTTCCTACTTAGAATGAATTTGGCCAAAAAAATGTTTCAGTTGTCCCTCATTTAATGACACACCGACTGTTAGAAATCACCCACCCTCTTTCCTTCTGAAATTAATTCAGCAGGCTGAAGGTTAAAGATGAGAGTGACCTCCCCTGTTGAGCGAGACGCAAGTCACATGATTTGTAAATGGCAACTTCCACAAAGCATTCTCGGACACTGGCTGGTGATACTCTCCGATAGAAGATCTATGAAAACAGATTTACATACCAATCTTTGACATAATTGAAGGTAAATAGCTAGCCCATGATTCATTTTTACTAGTATTATTTGGTTGTTTTGTCAGAATAATGAACCTGTCCATAATCATTCAATCGAAGTGATGTCAGCTGTGGTGTCACTGTCAGTTTCAAACTATGTCCCGTCACTTTCAATTTCTGAAAACCCTCTCACAAACTGATATCATGATATCACCAGCGGTGATTGATTAGAATAGGCGATCAGTGATCATCTTTCTTATTCCTATTGAAAATAATTCGACACAAACTAGCCAACACAAAAATAAGGGGCAGAGACCCTAATCGTTTTGCTGCCCATTTTCAGTATTAACTGGACATGTAGCTTAGTGCCCGGGGCTAAAATGCAACATTCCTGCTATATTTTGTGGATACTGTATTCATTACCAGTTAGAGTGATTGATATGCTTGATATGATTTGAGTTGACAAAGAGGTAATCAGACAACAGATACTTGAATGACCAGTTTGACAGGTCTTAGTCTGCCTTCAGTTAGCATGAAACATGAAACACTGATAAAGTTGATTAGTTGGAACTACACCAGTTTAATAGTTGTAAACATAGTACGAAAGGAAACATTTGTCGTACATGACACTTTGGATAGGCCAGAGTATAAATTATTTGAACTGGATTGTTACCAGTTAAACAGTGAACCACCAGTTATTGTCAATCCAGTTGTTGTGTGCAGGTGATAGAATCTCAGTTTTCGTTTGCTTGTTTTTTAGATATGTTACAAGAGAAAAATACTGAACTGAAAATTACAATCAAAACTGGCATTTATTCAGAAATATTACATTGTAGACTTGGTGTATGAAATAAGGCCCGTTCGATTGCCCAAGACGAGCTAGATTTCTGATGGACAGTCTATATTTACACCTGGCCAGTTTGATGGTCTGGTAACAAATTTAGATGTTCCATACATCTGAGTACAGAGGTAAAGATAAGCTGCGTATCTGAGTAAATTACGCAAATATTTATGTGAAAACTCAATTCCCATTATGTCTATTGCATTCAAGTATGCTTGAATTTTTGTAACTTTTATCTTTCATGCGTACACACAAAAATGTCAAATCTAAGCTTGTGTACCGGGGAATTAGTTCCTGTCATGTCACCAAACCTACTAGAATTTGGAATAAGCAGACACATGTGCTACAGATGGAGGTTACTGAGGATACATAAAATAACTGAGGTATATTGAGAGGTTCTATTTCAGGACATGAACTTGGCAACTTGCTGTCTTTGTTATCGTTTCTCATATTACAGATCAAATATGAATAACAAAGACATAAACCAACATTTAAACTTTATTATATTTTTTACAATTAATTGACAATGGCAAAATACTCAATTGAGTTTGAGCGAGGTGGGTACAATTTATTTGGTTTCTTAAAGGAAAATTAGGAAACGAAATTGAGATGAACACAAGCGAGTACATAACTCAGTGACCCAAAAGGTTATCTGTATCTCTGTGAGTGAATTCACCATATCTTGGAGTCTGGCCTGGTTAAATCCATTTTGGTTGGTAACATTTTGAAGTTAACAGCCCAGATGTCTGGCTAGGATTTTGGCTTATTTCATACACTGGTAGTCTATATAAGTGTGTATGTGTGTGTGTGCGTGTCTGTGTGCGTGGATGGTGGTCAGGATGTGTGTGTACAAAGACCATCTATATAATGGTCTTTGGTGTGTAGGGGTGACATTTATTGACGTTTTTATGGTGCAAATTGAAATCCAAGTACAGAGTATTATGAATAAGCAATGATATACAAAATTGGGACCATTTTTTTTTATCAGTTTTCAGGTGGAAAATCAACCAAAAACATCTTATTATAAAGTCAAATAAAATGTTTACGTGTTATACCAGATATAATTTAAAAAAAATAGAATTTTGCAGTGAACCGTCGCACATGCTGTTTAATCGATGGCAATAACAGGTACAGTAAGACGATAGGAGAGTTATACTTCCCATGGGGGCACGGTGGGCGAGCTGGCTAAGGCGCAAGGCTAGTGATCCAGCGAGGTTGAGGTGTCGGGATCGAGCCCACCTGTGACCGGGTGTAAAAACCTTGGAGTCAACTTTGTGTGCAGACTCTTTCAGTGTTGTCACAACCCCTAGTATACAGTACACAACTCTGTGCACTTAAAAGAGCCCACGAATCCGTTGGTATTTGACCAGATGGTGGCCATATGAATACGTGCAAACACCTAGTTGCGGGTACAGCAACGTGCAGTGAACATGGACAAAGTACTGTGACTATGTGTCCCAGTCCACCCAGTCCACCCAGCTGTGAATGGGTACCTCGTTAGGATGAGAAAGCCACAATAACTCAGTGCGCCTAGTGGCTGCAAGAGTTGTATACTCCCCAGGGAGTTGAGATTGATAATGCGATGTGCCGTTGAGATTGACATCCAATGATCGAGGGAAAAAATACCAGCGCCTTGAACATGCACTAGTGTGTGTATATGTGCGCTATATAAATATCCTATAATAATAATAAATAATAATGTGCTGATTCCTTCTCATCATGTTCTGAAGGAAATCCTCTCAAACATTTTTAACTGGTTTCCGTGGTAACCAGCCAATAGACCTAATGAATACAAGTTACTGCTCAAAGATCAGGAAGCACATGAATGTATCTTTTGTAAATGATTAGGTAAACTAATTTCAACTGCTTTTGCAGATTTTTATAAATATTTCTCTTTGAAAATCAGTACAATACCTGAACAACGCATGGACTTGTACATGAGTAGGTTTGTTGTGTGGCATATCAGGGGAAGTCTGTTATACAGGAGAGTATTGTCACAGCTTTATTGGTCACACTGCCTGCTTGAGTTTTCATCAGAATAAGGTGTATGAATACAAGTACAGCAGAATTTATACCTTGACCTCATCACTTCCACGATGTTAATTCACTTGGAACTAATTATAGGGGCTTCTGTAAATATGTTTCGATCAATCATAATTGCAAACTGTCGCCGAATAATTCCTTTAATGTAACATTTTGTGACTTCCAACGGTATTTTGAAACATTTAAAATTGTCTGAGACCATTGTAGTACAGGTATTTGGCATATTACAGCTATTTTGTCCAACAATATAACGACAGCAGGGCCATTTGTCCTAATAACTTCTGTATACTTGGCACCTGAATTGTCGGCCTGTCCTCACAAAGACGGCAACGCGTCGTTTTTCATTGGTGTCGCCTAACTATCTAATATAGACACCTCTATATCTTCATAAGCCAACTCTTAAGTGAATGGGCATCCTCAACAGCATCTCCACATTGTCCATTTGATGGGGCGGTGGGGTAGCCTAGTGGTTAAAGCGTTGGCTCGTCATGCCGAAGACCCGGGTTCGATTTCCCACATGGGCACAATGTGTTAATCCCATTTCTGGTGTCCCCCGCCGTGATATTGCTGGAATATTGCTAAAAGCGGCGTAAAACTAAACTCAGTCAGTCAGTCCATTTGATGAAAACTGTACCTTCACCATTGATTTGGAGAATATGCTCCGATGTCGCATCTGAATACAGAAACAAATGAATTCACAACACAAATATACATTATTTACTTGGTATTGTTTTAAAACCAAAACCTTTTTAAAAAGTTTGAAAACGACTATCCAGTACTCAATGGGCATCATTACTCGGTCAAAATATTCATCGCTGAAAGAATGACCTGGTCAGATTCATGTACTTATATAGCCGGAGACAGGACCTCTGTTGGGTAGGGAACCCAAAGTAAATGTTGTGTTAGGGTCGTGTCTCACCTAGTGTTGGGTAGGGAACCCACAGTAAATGTTAGGTTAGGGTCGTGTCTCACCTAGTGTTGGGTAGGGAACCCACAGTAAATGTTGTGTTAGGGTCGTGTCTCACCTAGTGTTGGGTAGGGAACCCACAGTAAATGTTGTGTTAGGGTCGTGTCTCACCTAGTGTTGGGTAGGAAACCCACAGTAAATGTTGTGTTAGGGTCGTGTCTCACCTAGTGTTGGGTAGGGAACCCACAGTAAATGTTGTGTTAGGGTCATGTCTCACCTAGTGTTGGGTAGGGAACCCACAGTAAATGTTGTGTTAGGGTTGTGTCTCACCTAGTGTTGGGTAGGGAACCCACAGTAAATGTTGTGTTAGGGTGGGTGGTCTCACCTAGTGTTGGGTAGGGAACCCACAGTAAATGTTGTGTTAGGGTCGTGTCTCACCTAGTGTTGGGTAGGGAACCCACAGTAAATGTTGTGTTAGGGTCGTGTCTCACTTAGTGTTGGGTAGGGAACCCACAGTAAGTGTTGTGTTAGGGTTGTGTCTCACCTAGTGTTGGGTAGGGAACCCACAGTAAATGTTAGTTTAGGGTCATGTCTCACCTAGTGTTGGGTAGGAAACCCACAGTAAGTGTTGGGTTAGGGTCATGTCTCACCTAGTGTTGGGTAGGGAACCCACAGTAAATGTTGTGTTAGGGCGTGTCTCACCTAGTGTTGGGTAGGGAACCCACAGTAAATGTTAGGTTAGGGTCGTGTCTCACCTAGTGTTGGGTAGGGAACCCACAGTAAATATTAGGTTAGGATTAGGTGTCTCACCTAGTGTTGGGTAGGGAGCCCACCTAGTAGGGTCGTGTCTCACCTAGTGTTGGGTAGGGAACCCACAGTAAATGTTAGTGTTAGGGTTAGGTGTCTCACCTAGTGTTGGGTAGGGAACCCACAGTAAATGTTGTGTTAGCTAGGGTTGTGTCTCACCTAGTGTTGGGTAGGGAACCCACAGTAAATGTTGTGTTAGGGTTGTGTCTCACCTAGTGTTGGGTAGGGAACCCACAGTAAATGTTAGGTTAGGGTTGTGTCTCACCTAGTGTTGGGTAGGGAACCCACAGTAAATGTTGTGTTAGGGTTGTGTCTCACCTAGTGTTGGGTAGGGAACCCACAGTAAATGTTGTGTTAGGGTTGTGTCTCACCTAGTGTTGGGTAGGGAACCCACAGTAAATGTTAGGTTAGGGTCATGTCTCACCTAGTGTTG